TCACCATCTTTTCCTGATAAAAATGCTCAGCAAAGTAGAATAAAGGGATCCTACTTCAATATAATAAAAGCCTTATATGACAAACCTACAACCAACATCATATTCAATGGGCAAAAACTAAAACAATTTCCATTAAGAACAATTTCCACATTCATCACTCCTGTTCATTATGGTACTGAAAGTGGTAGCCATAGCAATCAGACAAGAAGAAAAAACGAAGGGCTTTCAAATTGGAAAAGAAGTAAAATTTTCATTATTTGCAAATGACCTAATACTGTACATAGGAAACCATAAAGGCCCCATCAAAATGATATTAGACTTAATAAATGAATTTGGCAAGGTAGCAGGATACAAAATTAACACCAAGAAATCTATGGCATTTCTATACATTTTTCAAGAGACTAAAAAAACCCCATTTACCATGATACCAAAAAAAAATTAAGATACCTAGGAATAAACTAAGGAGGTAAAAGACCTCTACTCAGAAAACTATAAAACTATAGAACATTAGAAAAAGATATAGAGGAAGACATAAAGAGAAGGAAAACATAAGGTGTTTATGGATTTGTAGAAGTGAGATGATTAAAATATTTATACTATCCGGAGAGATCCAAGATGGCTGCTCGGGTAGACATCTAACCGCAGCAGCACACAACAATTTCAATGGAATACAACTAAGATGTAGAGTGGACATTGCCCGGAGCTACAGGTAGTCGACTGACTGAAAATTCTACAACAAGAAGGAAAGAGAAAACCAGAAGGAAAATCAGAGGAGCTGAAAAAAAAAGCCTAAGGTAAGGTGTGCGCATGGTGTGCGCGCGTGCGGAGAGGTCGCAGCCGGAGAGGAGGAGAGGGCGGGGTGCTGCCTTTCCTTCCTGCTAGCCTGGGCTGAACCCCCGAACCAGCAGCGCTGAGCCCCAGTTATGTGCCAGACCCTGGGGACCCAGGCTCCGGCAGGGGGAGACGGGGCTGTGAGGCTGAATTCCAGAAGAGCGGCGGAAAGCAGGGCCCCTGGAGTCATGCACAATGGGCGTGCAGAGGACCGAATGTTGACTCTGATGCTGGGTTACCCTAGCTGGAAGGAACAAGGCCCCTGGCGGTGCTAAGCCTCAGTCCGGACTCCTCCGAACCCCAGTTCTGGGCCAATCCCTGGGGACCCAGGCTCAGGCAAAGGGAGACGGGGCTGTGAGGTGGAATCCGGGGAGAGCCGCGAAAGGCCGGGCCCCTGGACTCGCGCACACTGCTCGCAGAGGATAGTCTGTTGACTCTGATGCTGGACTCCCCTAGTGGGAAGCAGAAAAAAAAGCTCCGGGCTGGGGGAATGCGGCGGGGAGCGGGAGCCCCTGCCGGACGCCAGCCAACCGGGCACCAGCAAGGAGGCGGGCAACGGGGCCCCTGGGGTGGTGGGTGCCTCTGAGCCTTTGACCACTGAGCGCGGGCAATGGAGCCAAGGCCGGGGGCTGCTTCCTGGGTGGCGCCGTCCTGGGCAACAGGTATTTTTGTTGTTATCCTTTCCTTTTTAAATTCCCATTAGCTGCTTCCTAAGCCATTCCAATATAAGTGGGACACGAAGAAAGGTGTGTTGAATATTTATTGTGTCTGGATAATTCCTTTTCTAGGAGTATATCTCCAAACAGAGTGGGATCAGAAGGGTTGAGTCAGCATTCCCAATAGCAGGGTACAAGGGTTCATTTTTCTCTGCATTCTTGTCATTTGCTGATTTGCTGATTTAGTGTGCCATTCTAACAGGTGTGAAATGATACCCCATTGTTGTTTTGATTTATGTCTCTCGGATGATTAGTGACTTTGAGCATGTTTTTATATGTCTCATGGCCTTCCTTATGTCCTCTTTTGAAAAGAATGTATTTAGGTCCATTGCCCATTTTTTGATTGTGTTGTTTATCTTTCTTTTTTATGTTGTATGAATTCCCTGTAAATGTTGGTTAAACCCTTATTGTAAATAACATTGGCAAATATATTCTCTTCAATGGACTTTATTTAATTTTATTGATGGTTTCTTTTGCTTTGCAGAAATTTTTATTTTGATGTGGCATTTGTTAATTTTCTCTTTAGCTTCTATTTCTATAGAAGCTGTATTGGTTAAAATATTGCTTAGGCATATGTCTGAGATTTTGTTGCCTATGGATTCATCTAATATTGTTATTGTTTTCACCTTACATTTAAGTAATATTCATTTTGAATTTATTTTTGTGTATAGTATAAGTTTGTGGTCTAGTTTAATTTTTTTGCATGTTTCTGACTAATTTTCTCAACACCATTTATTGAAGAGACTCTCTTGACTCCATTGTATGCTCATGCCTAGTTTGTGAAATATTAGTTGAGCATAATGGGTTAGGTTGATTTCTGACTTCTCCATTGTGTTCCACTGGCCTATATGTCTGCTCTTTTGTAAGTATCTGGCAGTTGTGAAGACAGTGATTTTAATACAGAGAACAAAGGGGTGCCACAGGCCAACCTGCTGAGCTCCCAGGACAAGGAGGAAGAAACCAAAGAAGTTCTCAATGTGAAGAAATCAAGTGAGAGCAAAAGATAGTAAAATTACTTAAGAAAGAATACAAAGAAGTTCTTGAAAAATCAAAGACTAAGTCAGAACTCAACTCACCAGCCAACATTGCAACATAAATGTGTTTAAAAAAAAAAAAAAGAAAAAAAAGGACAATGTTGGAACAGCGGTGGCCAGGTCTAGAGTGGCCAGGCACAAGGCAGTGGCAGCCAGGCCCGGAGCAGCAATGGCCAGGCCCCAGAGCAGCAGCAGCCAGAACCAGAGCATCAACAGCCAGCACTGGAACAGCCAGACCTGGGGCAGTGGCAGCCAGGCCTGAGGCAGAGGCGGCCATGCCCAGGGTGGACTGTCAAGGAACACCCAGACCCGGAGTGGCCTGGCCTGGAGAAGCCGGGCCCAGAGCAGCCGGGGTGGGAGCACCCAGACCCAGAACAGCCAAGCCCAGAGCATCCAGGCTGGGAGTGGCCGGGCTCGGAGCGGCCGGGCCCGGGTCAGCCGGGCCCAGAGCAGCCGGGTCGGGTGTGGCCAGGCCCGGAGCAGCGGCTGCCAGGCTGGGAGCGGCTGGGCCAATCAGAACTTTCTAGGCCAGAGGGAAACCTCAACCCAGCAAATTTCCTTTTCATGTCAAGCTAGGGGTGAAACGTGAGACGACAAGCACTTGGACACAACTTGCCTTTTGTTTAAGTTGGGGATTGGCCTGCCTTTCTCCATTCCAGTTTCTCACTCAGTTTTTGAAAAAGATTTTGGAGTGTGGGGAATGAGCAGAGGATGCGACTGGGGTTTGGGTGCTGGGACCTGGCAAGGACTGCACCCGGTGTCTGCACTCTGCCTTGATCCTGGTTCAGTACAGCTGATGAGATGGGCACCATTCCACTCCTCCTGTTTTGAAAGCAGGGCTGCAAATGTACCAGCCACTGACTGGGGCCTCTTTGTACAAATATTGCCTGGGCCACTGACCGGAGTAGCTTCCCTGTGTAGCCCAGGAGGAGAGACAGTTTCTCACTGGCACTCTCAAAGGAGCCAGCCAGGCTTAATCTTGTGCGCACCTTACAGCCTCAGAGGAGACAGGGGTGTCTGTGATGCATTAGGAAAGCACTGTTGGAACAAGGTCACCCACAAATACCCAGATTTCATTGGTCACCTGCATGGGTGCCTGTGGGTGAAGGGGACCTTCTTTTATTTAGTAAGGTGGTCTTTGGGAAGAGGCATGTCTTTGTTAAAAACTGAATTTTGCTATATCTGACAGAAACCCCAAGTAGAGAAGTGAAAAGAGAGGGAGAGAAACAGGGAGGAGAGAAGGAAAGCCAGTGCAAATGAATGAAGTGAGGTGTGGGTGGTATGGCAATGACCTGCAGGCCAGAGAAAGAGGCCTTTCTTGGTCTTTGTTCTCCTCAGCCTTGGATCTGCAAGAATGGAGGGTACAGTCCCCTACACCCATAGGCCTTCCCTTTGGCTCCAGCGTGGACCTCAGAGACCTTACAGGGTGCTTTGCCCTCTCTTGCCCAGATTCTATGGCCCAGTGATTAGCACATATTTTTGTTTCTTACACCAGGCCATGCTTAATGCTGGGGGTGGAGGGAGCGATAAGGAAGAAGAAAGGGAGGGGGGGGGTCGGAGAGAGAGAGATCCCTTTCCTCCCCTAATCACCCTGACCAGGAATCCAACACAACCTCTGGTGTTTTGGACAAAGCTGTTGCTGTCCATTTTGCCAGAGTAAATGTGGACCTGGGTATAAATGACAGAGAAAGAAAATTCGCCATGTGCAACCTCTAGCTGGTGCATAAATGGGAAGAGCAGGTGGTGAAGGCCAGGAAAAGGCCACATGATACTTAAGAAACAGGGCCAGGGGGGACATTGCAGGAAGGGCAGTGGCAGGCAGTGGTGCTGGGGAAGGAAGAGGCGGAGCAGAGTGGGGTCCAGGGCAGTGTAGCTCACTGTTAGGAGTACATGAGGGAAGAGCTGATTGTGCATGACCAGAATGACGAGGTGGCACCCAACCCGTTGCAGGGGAGAAGCACCCCTTGAACCAGGACTATGCCTCAAGGACCCGGATAAGGGCAACAGAGACAGGCAGAGAGATCCAGGCACTGCCACCTGCTTTCTGGCAGCTGTCCAGCTCAGGGCCAGTGCGCCCTGGGGTTGGGAGTGGAGAAGGGTTGGTGGACCGTGGGGTTGGGGGAGGGTGTCCTGCTGGTCAGGAGACTGCAGGTCTCTCCAGCCTTTTGGATCGGGAGTATCCTGGAAAAGGCCTTCCACTGAACACAGGGGCTTGTGGGTACAGGTGCAGGGAAGGAATGTGGAAGGGACCACGCAGGCCAGGGCAGAAGCAGGTGACAAGGCGGCCTCCATGTTGAGCGTGATGCTGTGCAGAAACTGAAAAGGCCCTAGGAGGTCAGGGCGCAGGTGCTGCTGAGGAGGCGTAGGGACTGGGTATGTACCATCTCTCGTGGGTGGTGGAAGTGGCGCTGGCCACAAAATGAGTGTGGCAGAGGAGGCGGAGTCCCCGGTGGAAGTGCAGGGGAAGCCTGAGGAGCAGCAGAGAGCAGAGCCAGGGCCGTGTGGGACAAGTGCCCAGCACACACTGGAGGCGCTAGAGGCCCTTCATGTCCAGCTGAGCACTAAGAGTGCTCGAACCAGCAGGGCCTACATGCAGGTGAGGAGCAAGACCTTTCAGTGTAGAAAGCCTATTCTTGAGCGCAGAAGGGCCATCATCCAGTGCGTTCCACACTTCTGGGGCCAAGCTGTATCCTTGCCCAAGCCCTTCTGGCTACCCTGTGTACAAAGACACAAAGACCATAGGGAGTACGTGGATGAGGAGCAAGGAAGTGGTGAAGTGGGGGAGAGCAGAGGAAAGAGTCCCCCTACACACTCCCACAACCTTCGCCCCTCACCCCGCACCCAACACTTCCCCCAGGATCCCATCCACCCCCTCCAGTGGCACAGCACTGGCCAAAACGAGGGCCAGCTTCTGCAGCCTTCCAACTTTCCACCTGCGGGTCAGGGAGTGTTGGCACGAGAAATACAGTGACTGGCACACAGTAGGTGACACAATGTGGCTGACCCACAGTGGTTGTGCACAGTGGCTGATTCACAGTGGCTGGCAGACAGAGGCTATGGCACAGCAGCTAGAGCCCAAAGGCTGGCACACAGTGCCTGGCGCACAGTATTGTCTACGGAGGCTGGTGCACAGGACTGGTGACTAGAGCACAGTGCCTGGCACAAAGTGGCTGGCGCACAGTGGTGGCACACAATGGCTAACACACACTTGCTGGTGCACAATGGCTGCAATACAGTGGCTGGCGCTCAAAGGCTGGCATAGAGTGGCTGGCGCATAGTGGTTGGAATACAGTGGCTGGCACACAGTGGTTGGTACACATTGGCTGACACAGTATTGTCGCAAAGTGGTTGGCGCACACTGGCACATAGTGGGTGGCACACAATGGCTGGAACACAGTGGCTGGAGCCCAAAAGCTGGTGCACAGTGGCTGGAGCACAGTGGCTGCAATACAGTGGCTGGCGTGCAGTGGCTGGTGCATAGTGGCTAACATACAGTGGCTAGCACAGTGGCTGGAACACAATGGCTGGAGTACAGTCTTGTCACACAGTGCCTGGTGCACAATGGGTGGCACAAAGTGGCTGGCACATAGAGGCTGGCGCACGGTTGCTGCAATACAGTGGCTGGTGCATAGTTTCTGGAATACAGTGGCTGGCACAAGGTGGATGACGCATAATAGCTGGCGCACTGTGGTGGTCCACAGTCGCTGGAGCACAGTGGCTACAATACAGTGGCTGGCATCCAGAGGCTGGCGTACTTGGGCTGAAATAGAGTGGATGGCGCACAGTGGCTGGCACTCAGAGACTGGCTCACAGTGGCTCGCGCACAATGGTGTCCACAGGTGTGGTGCGCAGTGTCTAGAGCACAGTGGCTGGCACAAAGTGGCTGGTGCACAGTGGTGGCACACAGTGGCTGGCGAAAACTGACTGATGCACAGTGGCTGGCACTCAGAGGCTGGTGCACAGTGGGTAGCACATTGTTGGAATACAGAGTCTGGTGCACTCTGGTGGCAAACCAGGGCTGGTGCACAGTGGTTGGCGCACAGTGGTGGTGCACACTGGCTACTGCACAGTGGCTGGTGCACGGTTGCTTGCGCACAGTGGCTGGAACCCAGAGGCTGGCGCACAGTGGCTGAAATACAGGTGCACAGTGGTTTGCGCACAGTGGTGGTGCACACAGGTTGGTGCACAGGCGTGGCGCACAATGGCCGGCGTACAGTGGCTGGAGCACACGGCTGGCGTACCATATTGTCACACAGTTGCTGGCACCCAGTGGGTGGCACAAAGTGGCTGGCGCAAGTGGTGGCGCACAGCAGCTGGCACACAGAGGCTAGGGCACAGTGGCTGGAGACCAGAGGCTGGCTCACAGTGGGGGCGCACCGTGGCTATGCACAGTGGCTGCAATACATTAGCTGGAGTCCAGAGGCTATAGCACATGGGCTGCAATACAGTGGCTGGTGCACAGTAGTGGCGCACAGTGGCTGGCACAGTGTTTGGAGCAGAGAGTCTGGCACACTGTGATGGCCAACCAGGGCTGGCACACAGTGATTGGCGCACAGTGGTGGTGCACAGTAGCTACAATACAGTGGCTGGCGCACAGAGGCTGGCACAAAGTGGCTACAATACAGTGGCTGGAATACAGTGGCTGGAATACAGTGGCTGGTGCGCAGTGGCTGGCACACAATGGCTGGCACACAGTATTTTTGCAGTGTCTGGTGCACAATGGGTAACACAAAGTGCCTGGCGCACAGTGATGGTGCACAGTGATTGGCGCACAGTAGCTGTAGTATAGTATTGTCACACACTGGCTGGCGCACTGTGGGTGGCACAAAGTTGCTGATGCACAGTGGTGGTGCAGAGAGGCGGGTGCACAGTGGCTGGTACATAGATGTTTGGGCACAGTGGCTGGAGCCAAGAGACAGTGGAGGCGCATAGGGGCAGGCACACAGGGGGGCCATACAGTGGCTGGAGCGCAGAGGTTGATATACAGTGGCTTGCGCGCAGTGGCCAGTGCACATTGGTCGGTGCACTGTGGCTGGCGTACAGTGGTGGTGCACTGTAGCTGGCGTACAGTATTGTCGCATAGTGGCTGGCGCACAGTGAGTGGCACAAAGTTGCTGGTGCACAGTGGTGGTGCACAGAGGTGGGTGCACAGTGGCTGGCGCATAGATGCTTGGGCACAGTGGCTGGAGCCAAGTGGTTGTCACATAGTGGAGGCTCACAGATGCAGGCGCACAGCAGTGATGCACAGTGGTTAGAGCACAGTGGCTACAATATAGTGGCTGAAGCACAGAGGCTAGCGCACAGTAGCTAAAATACAGTAGTGGCTGGAATACAGTGGCTGCCACACAATGGCTGGCACACATTATTGTCGCACAGTGGCTGGCACACAGTGGGTAGCACAAAGTGGCTGGTGCATAGTGGTAGTGCTCAGTCGCTGGCGCATAGTAGGTGCCACACTGAGGCTTGAGCACAGTGACTGGAGCCATGAAGCTGGTGCACAATGGGGGCTCACAGTGACTGGTGCACAGTGGCGGCCATACAGCGGCTGGCAAACAAAGTCTGGCGCACAGTGGCTGGAATACAGTGGCTGGAGGCCAGAGAAAGATGTACAGTGGCTGCAATACAGTGGTTGGTGCGCAGAGGCTGTCTCACAGTGGCTAGAATATAGTGGCTGGTGCACAGTGGTTGGCACACAGTGGTATCCACAGAGGCTGGCACACAGGAGTGGCACGCAGTGTCTTTAGCAGAGTGGCTGGCACATAATGACTGGCACACAGTGTTGGCGCACAGTGGCTGGCACACAGAGGCTGGCGCAACGTGGCTGGGAACCAGAGGCTGGCTCATAGTGGGGGCCCACCGTGGCTAGCACTCAGTGGCTGCAATACAGTAGCTGGAGTCCAGAGACTATAGCACATGGGCTGCAATACAGTGGCTGGTGCACAGTGGTGGCGCACAGTGGCTGGCACACAGTGCCTGGAGCAGAGAGTCTGGCACTCTATGATGGCCAACCAGGGCTGGCACACATTGATTGGTGCACAGTGGTGGCGCACAGATGCTGGCACACAGGAATGGTGCACTGTGGCTGGCACACAGTGGCTATAATACAGTGGCTGGCACGTTGTGGCTGAAATACAGTGGCTGGTGCACAGTGGCTGGCACACAGTATTGTCACTGTGTCTGGTCCACAACGGGTAGCACAATGTGCCTGGCACACAATGATGATGCACAGTGGTTGGCGCCCAGTGGCTGGCACAAACTGGCTGGAACACAGATGTAGCACACATTGGCTGGCGCACTGTGGTAAAATAAAGTGGCTGGCACGCAGAGGCTGGTGCACAGTGTTGGTGCAAAATGGCTGGAGCCCAGAGGTTGGCACAAAGTGGTGGCACAAAGTGCCTGGCACACAGAAGCTGGCACACAGGAGTGGCTGGCATAAATTGGCTGACACTCAGTGGTGGTACACAGTGGCTGTCATACAGTGGCTGGTGCACAGTGTTTGCGCACAGTGGCCGGTGCACAGAGGCTGGCCCACAGTGGCTGGTGCACAGTGGCTGGCACACAATGGTCATGCACAGTGGCTGGCACACAGTGCCTGGCACACAGAGGGTGGCAAAAAGTGGCTGGAGCCCAGAGGTTGGCGCATAGTGAGGGCACACAGTGGCTGGTGCACAGAGGCTGAAATAGAGTAGGTGGCATCCAGAGGATGGTGCAGAGTGGCTGGAATACAGTGGCCGGTGCACAGTGTATGTTGCACATTGACTGGCTCACTGTGGTGGTGCAAAGTGTTGATGCACTTTGGTTGCACACAGTGGCTAGCAAACAGTGGCTGGCACACACTGGTGGCCCATAGTGGCTGGCGCACAGTGGCTGGAATCCAGAGGCTGACGCAAAGTGTCTGGCGCACAATGACTGGTGCACAGTGTCGGCCCACAGTGGCTGGCACAGTATTGTCACACAGTGGCTTGAGCACAGTGGCTGGCACAATGTGGCTGGTGCTCAGTGGTGGCGCAGAATGGCTGGCACACAGTGACTGGTGCACACAGGCTGTCGCACTGTGGCTGGAGCCCAGAGGCTGTTGCAGAGTGGGGGCGCACAGTTGCTGCAATACAGTAGCTGGAATCCAGAGGCTGGCACACATCGGCTGCAAAACAGTGGCTCAAGTCCTGGAGTTGGCGCAAAGTGATTGGCGCAAAGTGGTGGTGCGCAGTGGGGGACGTACAGCGGCTGGTGCACAGTGGCTGGCGCACAGAGGCTAGCTCACAGTAGCTGGAATAAAGTGGCTTGTGCACAGTGGATTGTTCACACTGCCTGGAATACAGCAACCGGCGCAGTTTCTGGCCCATAATGACTGGTACACTGTCGTGGCACAAAGTGCTGGTGCACAGCGATGGCGCACAATAGCTGGGGCACTGTGGTGGCACACACTGGTGGTGCACAGTAGCTGGAACAAGGCAGCTGGTGAAAACTGGTGGACCACAGTGGCTGGTGCACAAAGGCCGGCGCACAGGAGTGACGCACAGTGGCTTGAGCACATTGGCTGGTGTAAAATGACTGGAGCTCAGTGGTGGCGCAGAGTGGCTAGCATACAGTGGTCAGTGCACAGTGTTTGTGCACAGTGGCTGGTGCACAGAAGCTGTCACACTATGGCTGGAGCCCAGAGGCTGGCACAGAGTGGGGGCGCACTGTGGCTGCAACACAGTAGCTGGCATCCAGAGGCTGGCGCACATTGTCTGCAAAATGGTGCCTCACGTCCATGAGCGGTGGCGCACAGAGGCTAGTGCACAGTAGCTGGAATAAAGTGGCTTGTGCAAAATAGCTTGCACACAATGGCTGGAATACAGTGACTGGCGCACAGTTTCTGGCCCACAATGACTGGCGCACTGTCATGGCACAAAGTGCTGGTGCATAAAGGTGGCGCACAATGGCTCGTGTATACTTTAGGCCAACAGTGGCTGTCACACAGTGGCTGGC